AAAATGAAAGTACAAAATTTTTAAATAATTGCACTAAATTATCAAGGGCAGGAGCGTAATTACATGGTGATTAAATTACTATTCAAGATATAAGTAGTTACTATTAGCTCTTTATTCCTTGTAAAAATAATTGGATATCATATGCAAGGAATATTGTTGTCAACAAGCCTTTCTGAATCATCTAAAAGTAAGCAATTACATGTGATGAGTTAAAATATTGAGGCAGAAACAAGATAAAGAAAATATGTTTCTAGTTTTGAGCATAGCCTGAGATATATAGTTTACAGTTTAAGTTGTTATCAGGGCATCTTTTGTTAAATGAGTTTGCTAAAATCAGCAAAGATAAGTTAGAGAATGCAAAGTAGTAAGAAAGTAGAGGTTGCAATATTAATGCTTAAAAACATTGTTCTTAATACTAAGGCAAATGTAATGGTTAGCTTGGAAAAATTATGCATCAGAGCAAGATCAACAGCAAAGAAAAACTATAAGTTTAAAGATTTAACCACTTTTGTACTTGCTGTAATCATCTATAAGAAAGAAAGTCAGAAATAAAGTTCCAACAGAGCAAATTAAGAAAGAATGGAGTTAAGAATGTAGTAGCGATTGATTTGTCTCTGAATCTAAAACAAACAGAGGAGAAGAGAACTTAAAAAGTCCAAAGGTCGAGAGACCCTGGAGAAAAAGAGGAGATCGTAAAACAAGAGATTCCAATTGAAATAGAAAAGCAGGAATTAAATGGAAAAAAGGTAAAACTAGAGATGGTGAAAGCTGAACTTGCTCTATTGATTTTTAAATGAGAAAAGTAATATAGCATAAAGCTTAAAAAGTGAATAACAGAGTAGTAATTGCAGAGAGTTTATGCAAGAAATTTAATAAGTCAAGCCAAAATATTTATATATGGTGCTTATATCAACTTTGAATAAATGACTGGAGAATTAATAATAATAATAATAGAGATCCCTAGATGATAAAAGTAATCATTAAGGGAACTCATAGCGAATCACCTGCATTATATTGGATTTAATAGATGATAATAAATAAATATATAGTGATCTCATTGGACAGATATTAAATAGATCACATCTAGGACGCTAAATTAATAATAGTAATTAAGATCCCTCACCTAGAAATCTTTAAAATAAATTATAAATTAATAGTTTGGAAATGATTTAAATAATCACTCCAAGTGATTTAAACAATCATCTTAAATTAAAATTTTCTTATTCTATATATAACTTTCATTTATTGGCAATTTTAGCAGAGGAAAATATTTTTTATATATCGTTATGTTTTTTACCAGCTAGAAGATTGTTTATAAGGGATGAATGATATATAAAAGTTACAAGACGAAGAAGATATTGGCGATTTAAAATGGAAGCATTTAAAAATCCTAATTAGCTTTATTTTATATATTAATATAAAAATAATAACTCAAGCATTATTTATAAAGTAAAAACACAAAATTTTTAATAAGCTTATACAATTGAAAGTAGAATCTATTATGGTTAAATATTTTATTGATTAAATTCTTGAAAAGCTATAATAATCTAATTTTACTATAATATATGTATTTAACTTGATTTCAACAACAACATCCTCCAAGTTTCTTCTACAAAATTCTAAAAATTGATGTATCTAAAAAAAATCAATTAGAATTTGGTTACTAAAAGATGTTACATAAATAATACCTTTTAAAAATTAGATTAATAAGTGGATGAGCGATTTAAAAAGTAAAGCTTTTTAGATTGTTGGGTTTCATAATTTACAACATTAATGACTGAATTCTTCTGTATCATAAGCATAACAATTAAAAAGAGCTTACTAAATTCTGTTCTTATAAAGACATCTGAATACAATTTTAAACTCTAAATATGAATTAATCTCTACTTGTTGTTGATATTTCTTTATTTGAATATCAAATAATTGTTGATTTATTCCTATTCTATATCTCCATGTAAAAAAATAAAAATAAATATAAATGTTAATTGCCCTTAACAGAAAAAATATCAAAGTTTTAACCAAAATATTTCCATACAATTCAATCCATCTACCATCAATGATCCCACTCTTAGAGTCAACTCCCCCTCTAAAAATTAATTATTAACTGTTTTTTTTTCTCTTATATTCCTCTTAGGAATTTTATTAAAAGAATATCTGAATTATACTAACTATCATTTCAAATAATTCAATCTATTTACCAAATTTTTATCCCTTATCATTAAACCAGCCTTCAGCAATTTTAATTTTATCATCTTCCATCCAAAATGCACTCCTTTTCCAATTTTTTATAATTACTTCCAGAGAAGTCTATCTATTATCAGTATTAATAACACTTAACTCATTGCATGTTGGTATATAAAAATTTGATTCTTTGATGAATAAGATAGAATAAATTGTTTTACAGGACTTCATTATTTCTTTAGTTGATTGAAATTTACTCATCTGAATTCATGGATCGTTTGTTTACATTTATGCAATTTCTTAATCTTTATTCTGTAATACTAATTTAATTATTTTCTAACCTAATCTTCATGTAATTCAAATTCTGAAATAATTTATTCTCTAATTTCTAGAATTGGCTTTCTTTTTCAGCTTAAGAATTTCTGAACTATCTGGCTTCTTCTCTACTCTAAAATAATTCTTAAAATTCTATAGATTAATTCTTCAGAAGTCAATTTCAATTTTTTGACTTTTATTTCATTATCAAATCTATATTCAATGTCTTTCATAATTTTTGTTTTTGCTTCCAATTCTCTTCATTCATATTCTTATTTTTTATTACCTTTAATTATTTTATTTGGAAGAGTTTTTATTATTAAAATTAATTTAGCCCAATTTTTTACCCTGAGAGAAATAGAAAACATAAAGATAAGAATATTAAAATTTTGTTATTCTTTTAAAAAATAGTCAAAAATTCTAAATCAAATACCTTTTAAAAAGACTAAAAAAAAGGATTATTAAGTAAATTTTATTAAAAATTAATTAAGAAAAGCAAAATTAATAAATAAATTTACTGAATGAAATATCACACTATAATAAAAAGAATATAATCATTTAACTTTAATTTATTAAGAAAATCAAGTAAATTGAGAAATTTAAACACTAATTTATGTTATATATGAGTTATTTTATAGCTCTATTCCATATCATTCTTAAATATTATTCAATTATCATAGTTATTTTCTGAAAGTTTCAATTTCTTATCTATATTTATCTTTACCCATATACTGATCTTTTTACCTTACAAATCATATTCACCAGTGTTAATTATCAATAACTCAACTGCCTTC